AAGTCTCCAGATTTAGTTGCAAATACACGAAATATGTTTGAATGTAGAATCTTAATTTCAGGTAGTACACTTTTCAGTTATCCAGCATTTGAAGAATACTACGTAAGCTTTCAAATATAGCTGAATAGAATATGCCTTTTGCTGTTATTTTATACGAATTACRATTTATATTTAGAACATTACTACTGAATCTAATTGGGCTTAATTTTCCCACGTATCTCAAGAAATAAGCTTTTGAAACGAATTTCATTACGATRTGATTATTATTACTAACAAACTATACATTTTAAACGATGAAATTTTTTCGTGTCATATACACTTTAAATATGGCTAATATCTAGTCTGTTTGCGTGATCCACTGTTTTCCCATATTCCCACTGTTATAACCTTAAGTACTAGTTCTTGCTTTACCCGCTTACATAAGATGCATCATATGGGCAAGAAGTATCACATGGATAAGACTCAACAAAGAAGACTATTCTATAAATAGAATGGCACGTGGTACAAGTAAATTGGTTCTGTTGAAGTCAAACTCATCAGTATTATTAACGCGGGAATTTGTATAACTTTGACAAAAGTCATGATGCATCTTAAGGACAATAATGGGGTGGAAAAATCAAGTCGCACGAATTATTTCATTTCAATTCATAGAAACCACATTATTAAGGGATTACAGGATGACATGACACAGACATAAACAGTTGTGGAAATCGATTCTGTTTGCCTATTGGTTCCGATTGGTCAATTGCTGACCATTTTTTGACCAGTCCGCAATGAACGATTCATTTCAGAGAAAGTCTTAACAAAAAGCGTGTGTGAAGCGTGTAAGAAATCTAGAAGAGATAACTAGCTAAAAACTAGAGTGAGCTGCGTCGGTGTTTCTAATGAAACAGTAATGATAAAAGGGTAAATTTTACACCGTAAAAAGATGAAAAAACATACTGACGTTTCGGACGCTAGTCCTTCGTCGGAGTTAAAGAAAAAGCTCTTTTACCTCCGACGAAGGACTAACGTCCGAAACGTCAGTACGTTTTTTCATCTTTTCACGGTGTAAAATTTACCCTTTTATCATTACTGTAAGAAATCTACATCTTTTATGCATCTTTTACCTTTAATCCTTAAGGAAAAGTTTCAAAAGGCGTTTCATTTCGCCGTAGGTTATTTTACCTTGCATTGCTTTCCGTGGAGTGTGTATTTTTGTAGTGTGTAAACAAAATCGTGATAAAATGTGCAAAAAGGCACTTTGCCAGTGGACTACTTTGACGATTCGGCGGCCGTATTGAATCGTAATGCACTATGGGTCGTCAACGGGGCAAATAAAGCTTTCGTACAGTAATGAGCTGATGTCGATTGACATGAACGACTCATCACAAGAAAATACAAAAAAGATGTATTGAGGTGGCACATCTATCACCTTTACCCATAAGAAAAAGAAAAACTCACAAAAATCTATGTATTTTCCGTCAGCTTTGTTTTGTTTTGCACCCTGGCAAGATGGCAGCCGTATCGACGAAGTAGTCGATTCAGAAACATCATTTCTGAGAGAATCCATTACAGCTTACTTCAATCTTAAAGCTTCCTTTAAAAAAAGCTTAAATTAATATAAGAAGACATTTTCAGTTGTCCTCCATTTCGGGTCACTTCTTGTCAACTGATAACGCTGAAAAGATATATGAAATTGATAAATCTCAAACAAGGGATGGGTTAATACATGGTCTAATTATAAAATGGATATTAAAACGTTACATTAAAGGTGAAAAGATCTGTTATATGCATATTGTATCAAGAAAATGAAAAATAATGATTATTATAGCGATGTAACTTTAATCGAGTCACGTGGCTTGCTAGTAGGAAAACTAATAGTAGTTCGTGTGATATATGAATAGAATGTATATAATGTACAAATAAACTAGCAAATAGAACTACTTTTAATGTCTCTTTTTAATTGTTTATTTTGCCCCCTACTTTGAATTTCAGATGCCGTCTGATACCTTAATAAGATTTCTAATGTAGAGCGGCGCCGGTACGAGATGGGGTTAAGTGTACAGGTCCATTAATGCAAGCTATTTAATAAATTATTATTCAATATATTAATGAAGAAAAACTTTATTTACAATCTATAAAAACTATATAAGCTGCATATTGAATCGTAAATTAATTTAAAAATTTGATTTAAAAAAATGAATAATATGATAGTAAAAAATAAAATAAAATAAACTGGACACCCGAATGATGGGTTATATATGTGTATGACTAAAAGAAAAAAAAGAAAAAAATCTAATAATAATCTAATTCAATTCTATAAAAACTAGTTACAGTTTGTGCATTGTTTATGTCATAAATTAATTTCTTAATAGTTCTCGTTCCTCGTATATATAGTACTGCGGACCTTATTAAATTTATGGAAAGTTTTACTCTGAGCCAATGAATTAATATGTTGTACCCAAGTTGTTTCTTCTTAGATAGTTTTAATGCAAGTTCTGAAATAAACCGTCCTGCTTCCTTGTCATTTCCTCCATATGGTGTGAAGAGGAGTGGTGTGAATGTACATTGTCCTACCTCAATTACCATTCAATAAACAAAATGACATGTACAATGGTAAAATAAAGCAAAGTTATGAGAACTCTGATCCCAAAGAATCTACCGATTAATTTGAACGATAGATAGTAAAGTATAATCACGCTATTCATGAGGAACAGAAGTGCAAACGTGAATAATCTTTTATAGCTTGGTATTCTCACCCAAGGCAATGTGTAATATTAAGTTAATAAAGTTGTGAGGAAAAGTGTTCAATGTCAAGGCTGATAGAGACATACTTGAAAGTTAATTATTTAATTATAGAGTAAAATCATGATAGACATTGTTTTATATAGAACGCAAATCAGATTAAACAACCAAAAAGGTTATCAAAAGAAGAACTTCATGAACCTTAAGTAAATGCGGTAGGTTACATATTTTAAGGTCAATATCGTTGTATATATAATGAACGGTTATCTTAATCATTCCTAAGAACGAAATGCAGCAACGAATTATTCGATTGTTATTTGTTTATTAAATAGACACAAAGTTATAAAAGGTTAGAAAATAGGGTTCAAAAAAACATGGCGGCGATGATGTCAGTTTTTAAACTATTAAAGCGAACAGGGAATGTTATTGCTCCAACAACAACAACAACAACAACAACAACAACAACAACAACAACAACAAAATGAATCTAACATAAATATAAAACCAAAACCAAAAAAACTCTGTATGGTATTGGATTATACATTTTAAAAAATTTAAGGTTTTTTTTTTTAATCTCAAAAACTGGGAAACTTATCGGATACAATAATAAGCATCTGTTCTATTCTTCATTTGTCATTTATACATCGCATATATATATTTTTATATATCAGATAAATGTCACTTGTGTTTGAGATCTTTAATAGCCCTAAATAGTTTGTAATGATCTAAGATATGAAGATCATGCCATGGTCAAAAACACTGGAGAAAATAGACCTCAGTGCAAACAGCTGATCAATTTGTCTTTATCAATGTTCAATCATGATCAGGCCGCTCTTGTTTTCATTTTCGTGTTTGTGTACAGTTTATTTTGAACTCGCTTTCAGTCAGCAAAGGACGCCTGTTTGTCGACCATAGGGCTCGAAACCGCGAATAAAGTGTAACAGTTACATGCTAGCTATTCTCTAAGCCTGTTAACTGACTGGAGCCAAGAAAGGAACTATGGTAAAGGTCTTTTCTGGATGTGATCTATTGGTAGTTCGTGACTCAAAACACGTTTTATGGGAGGGAAATTCGGGCTTCCTCTTCTTGATTTTAACGGCATACTAACTAAAAACTTTAAACATTATGTAAAGTCTACAACTATACAATCATATCCCATTCCCTTCTTACTGTCATTCTGCACTTTATATAATATTTTCATTCTTGGTGAGCATGTTACGTCATAGCCGCCATGTTGGTTGACCGATGACAAAGTATTCCTAGTTAGCTTCTCTGGATAGATCAACCAACATGGCGGCTGTTATTGTCATTGATATTGTCATTGTCATTTTTATTTATATCTCAAGGGATTTCGAGTCATGTTGTTGCACCCCAAGAATCTTGAATACTCAACCGTTCGTGAACTTCTAAAGTCTACTTCAGAATTGCTAAAAAATAAAATAAATAGATAGAAATAAAACCATCCATTATTTGCATAGTTATATTGAAGAAATAGAAAACGCTGCTTTGTGCAGTTATAAAGCACGCGGAGGTTGGCAGAACACGAGAGAAGTGTCAGGAGAAGCGCGACGCGTAGCGGAGTGCTTCTTCACACTTCTCTAGTGATCTGCCAATCCCCAAGTGCTTTATAACTCCACACAGCAAAGCAAGCAATTTTTTCATTTCTTTTATAAAATACAAATTACATGAATGACAAAACCGAAAGTGCGTGTGTGTGCTGTGTGCTGTGTGCTCTCATAAAGCACGCGCTCCCAACCAATCAGTACGCGAGATTTAGAGCAGTTATTTTATAAAGAAACTTTGTATTTATTGCTATATATGAATCAAAATGTATATGTGGCCATGGCAAAGGTTTGGCATGTGACCTAATTAGGTTGCAGTAACAACGAATCGAAGGCTATAGCGTAAGTTTTCGCACACAATTTTAATTTAAATTTCAACAAAACTCTGCTGGCAGGGTAGACTGGGATACCTGGAGGACCTGGAGGACCTTGTTTCAACATGCATGAAGGATTTAGTTGGTTGAGTTTCTAAAAATACTGATAAAGTATTTCGTGACGTCTCGAAGTAATGATAAACCAGACCCTGGTTGGGACGGTTTACTAGTATCAGAGTCTCTGAGAATCTAAAGGAGAACTACAAATAAGTTACAAAATTTCGAACAGCAGTGTTAAAAGCCGTTTATAGGCAGAGCGTTTATGCCTTACTCATCAAACTCATCGAATAACTCAATCTGGAAATCCAATTCCAGTCCCGGGTTCCGGATTTTGGCATACGTAATTAGCAACACGTTTCAAAAGTATGCAAAATACTCATACTCATAATCACTTGACAACATAGTGACATTGATTGACATCTGGTACATGATTATTGATTGGACTATAGACTGGAACCCTATAGCAGATACCCGCAAACGTCTCTTGGCTAAGTTCCTGAAGACCCCTGGGTAACTATTGCGCAACAGTTAATCATTTTGTCGCGGAAGAAAAAAAAATACAAAAAAAGGCATTTTACGACTGTGATACCACAGGTATCCCAGTAAAAAGCACACGTGCACTATAATAACTTTACTTAATATAATGATATTAATTGATTAATTTCTACGACCTCAGAAATGCCCTATTGGACAATCTATTTAATCAGCTCTGATGTATCAGTAAACCATAATAAGTTTTAAAATTTACTGCTGGAATCAAACATCCTATCTATATATCTAGCTAATAACATTAGCTTATGTGATAACATTTCTTAATATCAAAGACACTCAGACTCTTCGCCGAGAGCAAAACTCTCGAGGTACTCCAATTTGTTTTCTATTTTTGTTAAACGTTTGTCGCTTTTTGCAACCAAATTTTCGTACCTGTTCAATTTACTCTCCATTTTATCGAGCTCTCGGAACATTTCTGCTAGTTCGCTCTCTCTATTATCGTTTATCGAAGTTGTTGTAGTCTTGGTGAAGTTCGATCTGGGCCGAGTAGTTGAGGAAGTTTCTTTCTTGTCTATTTCGTCATGAGCAGTTTTGGAACAACAATACCAATTTGGATATAAAGTAGGGTTAACGAAGGCCTCGAGTTCTTGATGCTTCCCTGAATGGCTTTCTTTATCGTATTTGTGGTTAAATCTCTTATTCGATGGCGCATTACCCACGGACCCCATGGGTTGGCCTTCACTTAAGCCTTCCTCGAAATGAACTGGATTCAAAATATTATTATGTCCAATGTTATGACCACTAGAGAAAGAAGCAAGGTTGTCTTTAACCAAATCATCATCAGAAGACGAACTATTCTCAAGATTTTCTAAACGTAAGTCATCCGATGATCGTGAAACATTTTCTTTGTAAACACGCGGTCGATTGACCCCTTGGTATGGAGAAAATCCTTGACTGTCTTCTTCGCTTCCTCTCACAAGACAACTCTGCAAAGATAACGGAGTTTTGTTTCGGGGTTGTTCAGATGGTAGCATCAAACGTCCCGTGGCATCACCTTTCCTATGCTGGGTCGTTATTATTTGATACTTCTTACGCGCAGATTCAATCTTCGTGTGTATATCCCCTTCGTGAGCTTTTTTTGGATCAGTTTTAAGATCTGTGTCGTGATACATTTTCACGACAGCTGGTGGCGAGGACGAGTTGCTCTTGCTGTTGGATCGTAGTAACTGTTCATAATTTTTAATCACCCCATGTAGGTACTTAACCATCTCTTTTTCTTCCCCTAGTACACTAGAAAGTTCATTTTGCTGTATCTTAAGCTTCGAGTTTTCTATAAGCAATCTTTTGGCGTCTAAGTCTCCCATGAGATTTAGTTATCTTGGTCGGAATCTGCTCAGTTGGGAAAGAGTTATGGCGTGATACATAAAAGGTCGAGTCCAGAACAACTCGTAGTATCATGTTTCTGAAACATAAAGACATGTCGTCACAAAGGTAATCATAGAACCAAATGTAATTCTTCTAAATGCCTGCAGCATTTGTAAGATATTGACATAATATTTTGTAATGAGACGTAAATTTTATTGTATACTTTTTAAACCTATTTTTGCTGGGTTAGGCGGGTGCGAACTTGATATTGTTTGGTAGGTAGATGCGTGGACGGATGGATGGATTTGGGAAGGGAAGCGTGGGGGTGGCGTGCGCTGCACATGCTTATGCACCGACTCTCACCAATTCAGGTTCGATTGCCTCCTCGGTCTTCGTGTCAAAAAGCCCGACTTCTAGATTCTAAATCGAACTATGGGCTGCCTTAACTTAAAATCTGTGAGGCATTAGAAGTTTTTGGTAAATTGAAAGGAGAGGGAGATGGAATTTAAAGGAATGAAGGAAGAAAAAGTTGCTATTCGAAGATAGTAAGAGAACAATGGCCGTATTAGCGTTCAGCCATGCACTGAAATACAATTTTAATCTTAATCGGCTAAAAGCCAATCTAAAAAAAGTTGGACTACAATTTGCATGAGCGAGTTCTTTCTTCTTTCTTTCATCAGGAACTGATTTAATTCCTAGGGGCTTATAAACCTAATCTCACATTTAATGCTCGCAATAATTGGGCAGCTAATGTTAGGAATGTTTTTCAATTTGATCAATTGAGGCTTCCAGTCATCAGGCACATTGAAAGGTTTTGATTTGGGCCAAGGGTACTATCTGTCAGTTGGGGTGGTTAATTCGTAGACATCTTCAACCACCGACTGAAAGCAGTTGAAAAGCAGGCTGGTTATGATCTTGATAGGAATTGTCCACAATGCTTTTTGAGGACATATTCAGTTGAGGTGGTGTAGGAAAAGCCAGGAAGGAAAACTATGAGCAGCTCTTCAATGGCCAATAACTGCACTTTTTGCAACATTAGTTCTCATAACAAAAAAATTTAAGCAAATCGGCTTTCAATCTTAAAGTTTCTATATATATATATTTTTTAAATATAGAAACTTTTTTTGCATTACTAATTTTCGCGCGACAACTTTTTTCGTGGTCTTAAATTTTGCGATTTTTTTGAAATAGCGAAGATTTAGTCGCCCGAAAATTGTCACCAATGACGTAATTCAAAGCCTGTGTATCAGTTCCCCATAGGTTTTTTCCATTCCCAGCCTAATCAAGTTTTACGTCTTTCACACAGTCACAAACAATTGACTAAAGGAGATAACTGGTGTGAAAATATGAAAGGCAACAACTATAAATTTTGAATAATTCTAGAAACAAAGCCGCTATATCAAGAATGTATATTCCATTTTTAAAAACAACACAACAATTTTAAATTTGAAAGACATGTTTCGACTTGTCACAAAGCCATCTTCAGTTAAGCTAATTACAATTTAGGCCAATGTATAACCTTGTAAATTGTAATTAGCTTCACTTAACTGAAGATGGCTTTGTGACAAGTCGAAACATGTCTTTCAAATTTAAAAGTGTTGTGTCTTTTGTGCTATTACGCTCATATGGAAATGTATATTCCACGGTACAGTTATACGTTTTTGTTGATTAATTACTGTCAATGCAGACGAGAATCAAATGATAACATATTTTTGTGGCATTAAAAAAGCGAAAAATAAAACCAAGACCGTATACCCAAGCCTCACCATCTACAATTTGACACACTCCTAACTTCGTGGTGCTTGCTGAAAGATTGTCTTTGTCCAATCGATTGCGTCATCTCAACAATCTTTCRTTTCTTAAACATTTCCGGTTTGTCACTAACTATATGTCGATGTGTTTTTTAATGACATTAGCTAAATTGGTTTCATCATGGATCAGCCTTACTTCTTGCCCCGGGTTATCTTTGATAAGTAAAGATGTTCATAATTGCATCAATATTTTGCCTTCTGCCAACTTCTAAGTGCGTAAAATCATTTCTAGCTGGTTGAATTACAAAACAGCTGACAATTAAAAGCATGGTTTATCTGTCATATCTGTTCGAGAATGAGTCGGAAAGCAACAGAAGATATCTTGCAAATCATTTATAATTGGTCTTTGTTTAGATGTGACATCCAAGGCTATCTGTTTACAGAAAAATATTGACTAAGTTTCTTCAAGCGTGAAACAACGACCGACAATTTGGTTTTGGGTAATAAATGTTCTATAGATGCAAGAAGCGGTGTAAATATTGATGCATTATTGGTGTATGTCTATATTTAGATTTAATGATATATGCAAACTGTCCAAAGCCATATTGAAGAACTTTGCGCCTGGATTCAGTAGTTACCAAGACGACATCACAAACAGCAAAAAAAAATGTTTATTCCAACATTCCTGCAAAATAAGCTGGATATGCCAAATAATTGGGCAGTTTTAATCACAGCTTAATTAGAAATATAATTTTAGCAAGAACCCGCTTTTGACAGAAAATAAACAAACAAAAGCAACATATAAATACCAAATAATTTACATTTATGAACAAAAAGTATGTATATCATTTAGAAAAGTGCTCAAGGAAAAGCGAATATAAAATAATGCAAATGACTGGCTAAAGATAAAAAAAGAGGTTAGCTATGATTAAGAAAACGTCATGATTAATAGTGTTAATTCAGCCTAAAGTTTTGTCCTTTTGGCAATCTTTTTGTATCGAATGATAAGAGTAAATTAGCTTGAAGAGGCACTTGGACAATGCACAGTTATAAATAATGTTTTCCTAAAGGCCCTTGCGAATGACACTCAAGGCGTCTAAACCAATAAACCAAAGGTCAAAATCTATAGACATAGCAGACGTTTATAAAAAACCTTATAATTTATATTTTGATTGCGTTAAAACTGGTTTTGCGGTGAGGCGACAAGTATGTGGTAAATAGATAATGGATGGGACTGTTCTGCAAAATAGAAAAGTTGAACAAATCTTTCCTAAGTAAATACCATAATTTTACTTATTAACAATAGATAGTCGTTTGGTTCACAGTGGTTATCACAAAACTCTAAATTTGAGTCACGAAATGCGAACGAAGAAAGGTTCTTAAAAAGTATAAAAGGCCAAGGATGACAAAGACACCGTCGTTTCAAAAATGTCTGATATGCGAGTTTTCATGTTGTGCTCGCAGCGTGAAACGAAGAAATAACAGATTATATATCTATTATCACCCCCGGTCTTTATTCTTTCGCTAAATCATAAAGCAAATACTTTGTCATCCCTCTTTATTCTGAAGTATCTTACGGAACACAAAGCAATATATTTTTTTTCTTAGATGGTGTACAAATTGATATGCACAATTTACCGGTTGAGTGGAAGGCCAAGCAGTCGGATGACAGCCATCCATATAAAAGCCGCAGCATCGCTTGATCGAATTTGACGTAGTCACTGAACACTTAATGTAGATGTACACAAACCTCAATAATCAGTTTGCATTGTACATGTCATCAAGTTTGTTCTTCCTTGAAAGACAACATTTCAGACTCTTTGGGTCCCGTCAAAACAAAACTTTTCCTTGATAGAAATTTCATTTGTTGGAGGTCCATCAATCCCAGACAGACATTTTTAATAATAATCTCAATTATGAAGTAAATAGATTCAAATTACTGACAGCGTCAAAAAGATTCCTTATAAGAATAAAAGATAATTTTATTTCCCTGGTTCGATGGTCTCACACGATGAGTTAGAGGTCGATCCACCACTTTCCACCAAAAGTCGTTCAAACTGATTTACTTTTTCATTAAGAAAGCCAAGAACATCACTAACATCATCCCATTCAGACGTGTCTTCCTCAGCTGACGTTTTATTAAGCGTTCTGTCCTTTGCTTCTTTATTTTTTGCCATCGAATCAGTTGATTTTGACCTCGGTAGACTGGAGATATCCGAGTAGGCTTCAGTCAAAGCCGAATCTGAGTTATAAGCGTTAGAAGCATTTGCTTTGGATTTTTCGCCTCGTTGTATTACAAAAGGCCTTGAGCCATTTCTCTTCACATTAAAAGAATCAGATCGCTTAGGCGGCTGAGGTCTTGCCTTTTCTTTAAACGAATTATCTAATGCGGAATGAGGTGGATCATTTATAAGTGTTTGAATATAATCATCGTTTAGCCTGTTTTGAACTTCATTAGGCTTTTCACTTGCATTCTCCTGCTTCGGTGGTAGATCAGGCGGTGTTGTAGTGTTATTTCGATCTAATTTCTCAGGTAAATCGGGAGTTTTTTCGCGGGGTCTATCGTGCTCACGAGCTTCCCGCTTTAATTGTCTGTATTCCGCATCCTTCTTCTGAATGGTGCGCTCGTGTTTCTTAGATATACCATGCAGATACTTAACCATATCCCGCTCACGCTTTAATTCATTCTTTAGCTGATTCTGTGTGATTTTGTACCTGTCGTTCTGATACTCCAGTTCTCTCATCTTTTTATGAACCTTCTGATTCTCCGCTTTGAGTAAAATAATTATTTTTTCCAAGTTGGAATTTTCTGCTTTCAACAGCTTGATCGCCATGTGAAGATTAGAACCTTGATCAATTGGCTCAGCCAGCCTTGCATCTTTTGCTGCTGTCGACACAGCCAGTCGATTTTTATTAGTGGGGCCTAGAAATGATCTGTCGATACCTAATGAGGCTTCTATGTGATCCCCAACTCTAGTATTGTGATCTCTGCGATGCATTCGGCGTACAGACATGACTGTTATAACGTACTGCAGTAGTACGTTGCTCGTACGCTAGAGTAGTTTCATGGAGGCATGCATATTTTAAATGGTTCAGTTGTAGTTGCGTGACAAGAGGCATTCAAAAAACCGGACACCCTGTGGCCARGCTTTAGATTATCAGTGAGACAGACTTCTGTTGAGAGTTCAAGTGCTTCCTGTAGCGTAAAACTCAGCTTTGTGTATTTCAAAAGAAAACTTCATCTCAAATGCACGGAAATATATTGCAATTTATAGACATAAAAACCTAATCATTATCAATACATTAGCCAAGAAGACCAATGCAAGCCAATCAAAATTGATGTGAACTTTTTGCCTTGTACTAATGTCAGTTTTATTCATGAAAACTGTGACTTATCCAAGGATCGCACCACTTTATATCGCCAATAAATAGGCTTCTCTTTTCATAATGGAACTACTGCCTAATGTCTTCTTTAAAGTTAACAAGGAACAATGGTGTCCATGCGGAAACGAATAGTTACGTCTGGAGTGGAGAAATTGACTAGGAACAATAAAGTTGGTTCGCATTGATACCACCACGCATTGACGTAGTACAACTAGAAGGGTCGTTAATTACAGGTTCTGGGGTACGAATCGATAATAATAATAACAGTAATAATAATATAACTTCACTTGTTTATTTATCTAATTCATTATTCATATTTCCTATATTTCCGCCATTGCATCATCAGTCATGACGCAGTACTGATTAAGAATCAATAAACTTCAGTGAATTAAGCAAACATTCCGTTTTCCCAGAGACATACAATTCCCACGCACGTTTAACTACTATGCATTCAGTTTTTAGTTTTCGAACATCCGACGGCAGACTAAATGTGTTTGATGTCACTCAATACCTTAACGAAACTAAGAATTATATCTTGAAAGTCTACAAGAAATATCTATAATTCGAATTTTTGTAATTGGTTTTAGATCATTGTTGCCGGAAGCAAATTTCTTTAACTAACGTTTTGTTCCATGCATCACTGACACCTATTTCAGAAAAAGCACTAACGYATGCCGGCGTTATAAATCCAACTTCCTACTCAATGTATTTGCGCGTATTATAATCTTAAGA